GCTTACGGCGCTTTGCGCCTTCCGAAGACGTCCGAAGACGACTGTTTTGCAGTCTAACATTGGAGTGGCAGCTGATTTATACGGTGTTCTCCTTATGGGTCGAACCTAATGTATAAATTACTGTAACGTATTTTTCATATAACAGGACTCGTGATTGGCTCAAAATTGAGTGGCGTGACCAGTCATGCATTTAAGAGAAACGGGACTGTACAAGCGAGTTTCTTTTGCGCAAATTCATTTTTTGCTTTTTCTCCGTGATAATAGCCCAGATTATGCGATTTCCCTTTAACAAGGCGAATTAACCAGGAGAAAACCTGTCTAAATACAAACACTGAACCTTGAGTTTGAATTTGCTTCCCTAAATATTGCTATAACAGCGAAATGGTAGTCACAGCTTTTCTATTTGGACAGAGTTCTTGAATTCAGAACGCGTATTTTCTCGTCGCAAATTGTTACCACTGGCTTCCCAAATTAAGTTCGACGCAAGTACGCCGTCTGAACCAGCCGTTGCTCCAAAGTCGCTCTAAAGTCGAGCTTAATCAAGTTTGGTTTGGCACGAGTGGAGCGGCGTTTGGACCGGGGCTAACAGAGGATAATGTCTCAAAATTAAATGCGAAGGTTCTAGTGCGCTGTAGGGAAGTGTAGCCACGATCGTGTCATGTCCTTATGATACTGTACTGTGATCTTTTTTCCCAACGAATGATCCAGGCATGATCGGTGCGACGATCGCGGGCATTTCGAGCAGCAATGTTCTAAAGAAAAAAGTGTCGTTTGATATGTGCGATCAATGACTGACTCATTGTTTATTTATCCTTTCCATGGTGATAAACTTTAGGAATTCTATGTTGCTTTCTGGGGCGTGCAGATGAGCAATCTAGTTCTGCTAGCCTGAAAAAGAAAAAACAACAACAACTACAACTACTAGCTAAAATCTTGGACAATTTAAATGAAAAATTAAGACCACCCCTCCCCCCCATTTCAAAGATGGAAAAAATGGCATGTTTTGGTTGTAGTGCGAGCTCATCATTGATTCGGGGGTAGGAGTGGTTTTATTTCGTTATTTTATTCTGACCAAGATTGTAGGCTTTGCTTCATTTGGGATACTCGTAACACCAATGAAACCTCTTCTTGTGTTGAAATGGAATGTATGACTTGAAATGGTGGGAACCAAGTCAGATCAGTTTTATTAGACTAAGTTATCCTAGCTTTCTTTTTCTTTAGCTTCTAAGGGTCCTGTAATTTGTTGCATTAGAGAATTCAGCTGGACATGTGGCTGAACAGTGTACTGTAAGCTGCCAAGATGTTTTGTGCCCAGATACTTGAGATTGTGTACACCTGTAGCTGTCCAGATAGCATTGAAAGTGCTTCAAGAGAACATGAAAGATTTGCCAGGTTTGTAAGAACTCTTTGTTGTTGCTTTAAATAATATTGTTTTTAAAACAAAGACAAGACCAAGTATTATACCCTCATTTAAATCATGAGAAATTTAGGAATCATGAGCTGCTATTTAGTTGTTTTCTGTAAATGTCCTAAAATAACCGTTGTTACATAACAGTATGAATGTAATGCATGGCTTATATTATTATTGTGGATGCCAATGAAATATGGGTTTAAAAAATGCTCAATATAAACAGTATCTGCCGAATCCTGTCTATACTTGGTGACAGACCACCTGAACCCACAGTACTTGGTCGCAAATCTCCAATGCTTGAATTTCGTTTGGCCAGTTAGTTTTTAGTAGTTTTCTTGCTACTCTTGACTGTTGTTCATGATTGTAAATAATAAAGTTCTAACAATTCTTTCACCTCTTGTACTTGGTTCCAAAATCATAATAGGCAGTAAAAGTTTGCTGAAGATACAAGCACATTGTGACATGCGGACGGACTGCTCAACACTTTCACCCAACTGATGAAGACTAACCGTAAGTGACTGAAATGTTTGCCATCTAGTCATTCTAAGTGATAACATGTTACTAGAGCAGTTTTGAATCGTTTAGGTACAGTGTATGTACAACCAAAACCAAAGGAATCACTCTGGCCAAACACAAATTACGACATTCCAGTACTAGTGAAGCAATAGAATGTGAAGCAAAAACATTAAGCTAATGCAAAGAGTATGATAATGTGCTGGGATGAGTCACAATTTGTTTCTTGAGGTCCAAGGGCCAATAAGACCAAATGTTGGCCATTTAAGAGACAGACTAAGTCATTATGAAATGCATAGGTGATACTTAGTTTACTGACAAGCAATACCTGTGACATCACAGTCTCAAGGTAACTGAAATTTACTTACAATACATGGTCCTTAACTGCAACCTTTGCCTGCTTCGACATACTATTGAAGATGTATTCTCAAATGTAGGCTGCAGGCTTAAAAATTGTCCAGTTTGATAAGCTTGGCAAAAATGCAAGCATTATGGTTGTACCAAGATCTTTGTTTCTATCCAGTAGATTGCTGATACAAGGGGACTCTTGAAAGTCCTCTCTTGTAACTAGGTAAAAAAAAGGTACGCAATGCTTTCATGTGTCTGCTGCCTTTTGTTGGTGAATGTTTCTTTTATTTTGGGCAAAACAGCTACAGAACACCATCAAGAAACCCTCTTTTCTGTTCTTTTATTGTATCTTAGAATGTGTTGTCTTTTTGAAGGCATAGAAATCCTGACTTAGTGGCTGTTTTGTGGCCTGTTTTTGACTGAATGTAAGGAAAGAGATAAAAAGAGTGCATCAGGAAAATGAAGTGTTAGGGAAGAGTTGTCGAGTAGCAATTTGTCTAGTAGCAAGAATAGTGAGTTGAAAAGATACTTTTTGTTGCAAATTATTCATCTCATTGAAGAACAAAGCAGGTTATTGTGGTATTGATTTTTTCTACAAGGGAGGATACATACTTCTTACATGTACATAATGAAACATTTAAAGACTATGGGACTGAACTAAACGTAACATTTTTATTGGAAGTAAAGAATATCATTTAATTTACAGTAATAACAGAAAGTTAACATCTTACTTATTAAGTGGTATATTATCAACATGAACAATTAGACAGGTTTTGAAAATGTTTCTTATTTGTTACAGTTAGTCTGACTTACTTAAGTGGTACACTAACATCAAGAAATGTTTTTGATGTTTCTTATTTGTTAAACTTATTCTGAACCATTAGAACATAACATTTGAATTTGAAATAAAGAATAACATTTGATTTACGGTAACATCAACAGAAAGTTAACATCTTACTTAACTTGTATATTATCAACATGAACAATTAGAAAGATTTTAAACAGTTTCTTATTTGCAACAGTTACTCAGCTGACTTACCTAAGTTGTACATTAACATCAACATCAAAATTGAATGTTTTTGATGTTTGTTATTTGTAACAGTTATTATGCAACTTTAGTGATGAAGTTTGATGTTAGTCATATGTGAAGTTAATATTTTCAAGATCTAGAAGAGCTTCACTGATTTGGTCAGACCTAGTGTCTTTAGTTAAGTTCTTTTTGCTTGAAAATGCTTCAATTGTGTCTGTAAAAGCTGTAAACCAAACCTCCTCTCCATCACCGTCAGCACAGAGTCTTGCGGTAACAATCTTAGTTGCATTCTTTACTTTCTGTGGAGCACCACAATGTGGTCACTGCACAATATTTTTTCCTGGCTCATGTGACGTTTTTTTGTTGCATGTTTTTATGTGGCAGATAATATATATGTTTAGTTTATCAATGAATTTGAACTCATTCACAGAGATGGTTTTCTCTGCATTGGCCAGATGATCTGGTCCTTTGATTTTGTTTAAGGGGAACTGCGACCTTCTTGAAATGAAGTGGTGGGAGTTGTTCCTAACAATGTGTTACATATACCCACAAACTTAAGTGTTATCGATCATGAGAAAACATAATACAACACTTCATGTTGGAAAATACACAAATAGGTCAGCATCATTGTGCTGGAAAAATATGCAAAATAAACAATGGCTGTCAGGCAACAAGAAATAAAAGATCTCATGTCAGAAAAAATATACGAAATAGACATTAACGCAAGAAATAATCTCATCTCCCAGCAAAAATTGGTGCATCCAACAAATATCTAATACGGGAAAATATCTACAAAGCAACATTGTAATGAGGCAATAATTAATTAAACATCTCATGCCAGAAAATATATATAAACCAAAACATTGGCTATGAGGTAACAAATAGTACAACATCTCATGCCGGAAAATATGTGAACTAAATATTGGCCATGACGTAACAAATAACAAAACATCTCATACTGGAAAATATGTGAACTTAGTAACAAATAACAAAACATCTCTTGCCAGAAAAATATATTAAGCAAATGATATGACATTGGTTACGAGGAAACAAATTATAACACATACATGTATTGTGTATGGAAGTGACTGGTAGGAAAAAGAAATAAGAGAATGCCTAAAAAAAAATGTGAACTATACCCAGGTAATGGGGAAATCAAATAAAACAAAACAATATACATACATGTAGTCAGGAAAGCAGGAGGGAAGCAAATGAATGTGACACTGTAGTGAATATGCATAACGTAAAAGCAAACATGCAATAGTGAAGAAAGTGCAAAGAAGCTGCCCAAAACTTAAATAAACTTGAAAAAGAGGATAAAACCTGGATAAAACTATCGACTAAACGTACAAAATAGAATAAATAAAATGTAGAATACCAAAACTAATAAAGGGGATGACGAACTGAGTAAAATGCCACAAGGGTTTCAGATATGACATAAAAATGTGCTAATTTACAAACAGGAAAGCAAAATGTACAAAATAATAGAAAAGACTAAAGTTTCTTCTAGCTGGTTAATCGGGAGCAGCAATGTTTTGCGTGACGGCATTGTCTTGAGGTGGTTACTGTACTTGGGGAGGTTGTTCCTGAGTCTTTGCAGCTGGATCAGGCATGCTGGTGGAGCCTTCTATTGAAATGAAAATGAATTGATGTCAGTGTAAACTCTTATACTTGCTTGAGTAAGACCATACATACATATACATACATATGCATACATACATACGTTTATTTGATAAGTAGGTTTAAAATAAGCAACTGTACAGCTGATGTGGACCTACTACTACTAGTCTAAATAAGAGAAACAGAAATTTACAATACAATTGTCATAAAGCTAAAATAATATATACAATAACAATAAAAAGAGTAATCAAATAATTTAAAAATACCTAAATTCAGGGTTCTTATTATAATTTGTAAATAGACCACTGTAAATAGAACAGAAAAAGATCGTATGTAGAGTTTCCTACACTTTTATTGTGTGTATAAGCAGAAAGACTGTGCATTAGTCACCTTGGCAACTACCAGTGAGAATCTTACTGTGTCCTTGCATGGCAACAAAACAAAGCCATCATGAGCTCTACATTCCAAAAAAAAAAAAAACTGACTATGTAATTGTTGTATGTGGTACACTCTACCATCTGATGTCTCAATTGTGTATAAATACTGGTTGTATTTCCTCTAATAACAGTCCTTTGCACCACATTTTCACCTGAATGGAGTGGGTTCATGTTCACCACATCAACTTTGTGGAGGTTGAGGGGTTGAGGATCTTTGGCTGTGTGGTTGTAATACCACCTCTGTTTATTCTGGCTTGCCGGTTTGTTGGAGAAGCTGCTTCATTGCTGGAAGTGGGTTCTTTGTTTTCCATATCATTAGGTTTCTGGGCTGGATCCAACTCCTTGTGTATAGGTTTTCAAGTAGTACAAGATGGCTAAGTCTGGTTCAGTACCAACTTCATATGCTTTATGGAGACATCGCTTTGTTGTCTTCATGGCAGGCTCTGCCTTCATTGCAAATTCATTGCAAGAGAACTGCGGGTCAGTCTACCCCTGTAATGTCTCGCTGTAAATCAGACATGCTACATGAAGCTTGCTACAGTATATATATTTTACTGCGTTTTCTTTCTTTCTTTGCTTACTATTTTATTTTCACTGCTATTTTACGACATACTGAGTATGTTCTAAAATGTAGCCTTGGTACGAAAACTTTTGCACATCCTAAAAACAATGAAACTGCATATGACTAAACTTACAAAAACTTTAAAAACATGACTATTTGATTTTTTTCTTTCTTTTTTTCAATGAAGAAAAAAGGCTCAAAAATCACAGGGGTGAAGAAATGACCTGCAGTGAAAGGGTTAGTAAAATTGTGTCTCTATAACCTGATGGAATGAGCACGGGCTGTTAACACAATGATTGCGCAAGCAAAGAATTAATTTTGATGATCAAAGTGAACAGAACTCATTTCTTGTTCTTCCATAACTTGGTAGAAACACAGCACATTTTCTGTTTGTTATTGGAAGTTAACTAAAAGAGGCACTTGTTGGTACCATATGTCAAAAAGAATAAAGGCGCACACTGAACTATAACTGTGAGGTAACTCACAAACATGCTTTAATCAACTCCTTTTGGAGTGAGAACTAACTTGATTACACAGTACCTTAAAGTATTCATTTAAAAGTATAAAGTTCAACCTTCTCTAACTGAGAAGGCATTAAATGAAGGTGTCTAGTCTGCGATTTAATCCTGATGAGACTGAGTTTCAACTCTATTGGTAACTCTTAAAGGAAACTGGTTGGAAAATCCTTAAACTGAGCAAACACCTGAACCCTGAGTGAAAAAGCCCCTCAATTCTTTACCACATTGGAGGGGCCAGAGTCATTGTAAAGTAGCTGGTCTTTCACAATGGCTTTGTGAATCTGCCTTCTGGACGTCTGAAGCCGATAAACCCCCAGGCGATTTTTGGTGGCTTGGATTGAGACTGGAGTCAAGCTGCTGATGCTCTCACGCCACGGCAGTCCGTCGAGTTGCAGTCTGCACCGGTTTGTTGATATGGCTTTGTACCAGAGTAAACTGACTGGCCAAGAAGAATTTTCAGAGTGTTCACAGTGCTGGTCTCTTGATGCAGGCCACATAATCTCCTGGCTGAAAATGGCAGGGTTACGATGGTTGCATGGTAACCAGCACCCGAAATTGTGACTCACTGGTCACCAATGTGACCAAAACTTGAGTGTTAGTGACCAGATATCAAGAACTGGTTGCCAGTGGGCAATTCACCTTTTCGTCTGTCAACCTTTCAACCTCAAAGAAAAGCGACATTACTTGTGAATGAAGGATATGATTTATTTGAGTAGATATAATAAATCAAAAACCCATGATTCATCGATGACTAACTGGATCGCCATGTTTAATTCAGCAGCTTCTTTATTTTAAGGCACAGTAAATTAAACAATTCTCTTGTATCGAAAAACTACCCCTCTTCAAAATTGCCCTTTACATGTAATGCATAGCAGACCCTTGAGTATTGAGTACATCATGTATGCCTACAAAATGTGTCTCTTCTATTTGATTTTACAATCTGGTGACTAAAAATTTACATTTGGCAACCTTTTTTTACCAACTTAGTAGCCAAATGGCAATTTAAGGATTTTTTTAATTTCGAGCCCTGGTGGGGAGGCCTACCCTGCCTCCATCTTCCTGACTGCCCTCAGCAAACTCTCTGGCCAGATTGACAGCAAGCTCCTTTCGCTTATTGGTACATCGATCACAAGGCTGCTGCGCTTGATCGGTTGAATGTCAGAGTGCTGTGGCCAACAAGGATTTAAGCACACGGGTGCAGTCACTAGGAGAAAAAAGCAAACAGTTATTTATCAAACATGAAACTCCCATGAAAAAATACAACAAGATCCAAAAATGTTAATATTTTGTAGAGCCCCAAAGAGAGGACTTGATAAACCAGACAGTGATACCATACTACATAGTTTTGCTTTGATTGATTCAGATTGAATGTTCAGTTTAGGTTTCTTTTTTTGGAGAAAGAGCATTTCATAAATAAGCATTCAAGAATCTGACTTTTAGCTTTACGAATCTGGAAATGATGAACAAGTCATTGAAATGTTATTCAAATTAATACTGCCAATTTTTATTCTAAAGTGGTTATCCAAAGCCTCCATTATTACAAAAAACACAATAGGAAGAAAATCACCGACTTTGCCAATCCCATGGATATACGTTTCCCAATTTGCTTAGGACTGCATTACAGTGTCTGTATATTTCATGTGAGATTCTGGTTTATCCAGCTTGATTTTTTTGAGAATAAGTCCATGTTGAGAATAAGCCCATATGATGAAAGAGGAATGAAGCATATTCACTGAGACCAGTTTTCCCTTGTTCTGTGGGGAAAGGGGAAAAAACAATCAATTTATTAATGGCATGCATGTCTAAGAGTACCCAATGGGTAGACTAAGAGCATTTTCCCCTCTGTGTACATCTTTCTTTCACCCTTTAGCATTACCAGGAGTGAGAAATCAAGCTGTTTTACCCCAGAGATTGACCTTGTCAGAATTCACCAGAAGTCAGCCAAGGGTGGAGGGAACACTTGGAAAACCCCAATACTTCTAGAGACACCCATGGAGGAGTCTTGAAGAGCATCCATTCACCTGCAAAGAATTGTTAACTGGCTTGAATCATTCCTACACACCCTGGGAGAATTCTTTTGAGAGGGGAAAATGGTCTAAACATTGGTTTTGGGGATGGAAGAGCCCACTTCAGAGCTATCAGCTTTTTCTTAACTAAAGACAGTATGCCAGAAAATTTACTGGCCCTACCTCCCGGCTAAGGTTAGGATGAAATCTTAATTGCACTGAAGAATGAAAACCAACATTTGTTCACCCCAGTTTGAAAGTCAGACTTAACAAAATAATTTAACTCATTATTTTTGCAACAGTAAACTGGTTATGTGTGAACAGAAGTCATTCATGTACAAACAAATAATATGGCAAAGTTTGCAGTCATTCTGTGAAGAGAGTTAGTGAGTTGGTCATTAGTAATGCTCCCCTTTACCAGGCTTCAGTTTAAATACACACTGTAACAAACTACAACCTACATGACATTGTATGATGCATCGACTGATCAATGAACACACAAGTTTACATTTAAAATTAGCCCTAACTAAAACCATTGGGATGTTTTTTGTTTTGTTTATTTCTTTTAAAAAATAGGAAAAACCAGAAATCCAACCTGCAGTGCTAATTTGTTTATTTTTATGTTGCAGGCGTGGAAGTTTTGTTGGAAATGGGTGTAAAATTGACCTAAAGCGAAACGTAGAGCTTAGATGGAAATCTATGATTGGCATTTAATTCCAAAGACGATTTTTGCAATATGCTCTGAATCTTAAAGCAGTGTGAAAACTCAGACGGAAAGTTTCCCTGTTTGCAAGGAATCAAAAAATTCTTCCAAGCAATTTCCAATCCCTTAATTGAACTGAGGTGTAATGTTTAAGCCACACATAAGAAACTAATTAAATTAATTTGTTTCAATTTCTTGTCTCGAGAGGTTCCTCCATAGAAAATAATCCAAAAATTTCTGATCCCCCAAG